GAGGAGAATTAAATCAGACGCAGACCAGACAGGTCTACAAAGAGACCTGGACAGGCTGGATGTGTGGTCCAGAAACTGGCTCCTAGAATTTAACCCCGCCAAATGCAAAGTCATGAAGATCAGAAGAGGGCAAAGAAGACCGCAGACAGAGTATAGGCTAGGAGGCCAAAGGCTGCAAACCTCACTCAAGGAGAAAGACCTAGGAGTGAGTATAATACCGAGTACATCGCCAGAAGCACACATTAACCAGATAACTGCTGTGGCATATGGCCGCTTGGCAAACCTGAGAATAGCGTTCCAGTACCTCAGTAAGGAATCGTTCGAGACTTTATACACTGTGTACATCAGGCTCATACTGGAGTATGCAGCACCAATTTGGAACCCACATCTGGTCAAACATGTCAAGAAATTAAAAAAAGTGTAAAGGCTTGCAACAAGGCTAGTTCCAGAGCTAAGAGGATTGTCCTACGAAGAAAAGTTAAGGGAAATCGGTCTGACAACACTGGAGGACAGGAGGGTCAGGGGAGACATGATAACAACATACAAAATACTGTGTGGAATAGATAAGGTGGACAGAGACAGGATATTCCAGAGATGGGACACAGAAACAAGGGGTCACAATTGGAAGCAGAAGACTCAGATGAGTCAAAGGGATGTTAGGAAGTATTTCTTCAGTCATAGATTAGTTAGGAAGTGGAATAGTCTGGCAAGCAATGTAGTGGAAGCAGGAACTATACATAGTTTTAAGATGAGGTATGATAAAGCTCATGGAGCAGGGGGAGAGAGGACCTAGTAGTGGTTGAAGAGGCAGGGCCAGGAGCTGAGTATCGACCCCTGCAACCACAATTAGGTGAGTACAGGCATATATATATACACACCCTTTTGGGTTTTCTTCTGTTTTCTTACTAGTTCTTGTTCTTGTTTATTTCCTCCTATCTCCATGGGAAAGTGGAACAGAATTCTTCCTCTGTAAGCCATGCATGTCGTAAGAGGTGACTGAAGTGCCAGGAGCAAAGGGTTAGTAACCCCTTCTCCTGTATACATTACTAAAGTTAAAAAGGCTTGTTTTTCTTTTTGGGCCACCCTGCTTCAGTGGGATACAACTGGTTTGTTGAAAGAAGAAGACTTCTTCTCCAGGGCTGATAATATATTTAGTGCTTTTCCTTGTTGGGCTGTTGTAATGGTGAGCAATAGAGTTGAAGTTCTTATATTTTTGTTGATTTCTTGTACCTCTTATGAGACTTGTTAAGCAGGCAACCAGGCCTGTGAGTCTCCTTATTCTGGATGATCTCTTATAATTGTTCCCTAGCTTTCTTCTGTATTTGAAAATGCAAGTGTCTGTCATTCTACTACTACACCCTCTACCTGTGCTTCTCATATTTGCACAAGAGTCCTTATCGGGCCTCATTTCTTGTAAAGTCTGCTTTCCACTAATATGTACATGATTTTTTTTTTTTTTTGCACCTGGGGGCTTGTCAACAAATTTCTTCTCAAACATTTGTTGGTCATGGGATCATTTTCCATATGCAACAGTTCTTGTGCAATTTGAGTAGATCAGTGCTGAGAAACAGTTATCCTTGGATGATCTTCCTTGCAAATTCCTTCTAGGAGTATGTGGGAGGTATGCAGTTCACTCATCTCCAGAGCCCCTCGTGATTATTACTGCAACCTTAGAAATGTGGCTAAAATAATTTTTAACTGCCACTCCTTCCCATTAGTGGTCTGTCTGGCAGTTAATGGTAATGAATGTTGCCCACCCTGTAGCAGAGTCGATGCCACTGGTATTATATTCATGAGGGGAGCATTAGGAATTAGTTCATCAACAGAAAAGGCTGTCTTCCATCTATCTCATAATCTTGCAGCACCATTTATTGCTTTGGTTTACAACTGTTTCCATGTCCTTTAGACATGTCTAGTTGGCTAACTTCCATGTCACATGTACAAGAGGGTAATTATAGAATTGTCCACACTAGTTTTATTGCTCAATAAAAGGCACAACTGATTTCTACACCATGATATAAAAATAGCAAGTACACATAACTATAGCACAGTACTGTCTGGGGTACATACTACCAGGAAAAAGCACAAGTTTATTAAATTAAGCCTTCAATACAGAAGAAACACTGTTACTGTAGTCACTTGTCCAGTAATATAACCTGACTATGCAATGCCTTGTGTTTACACCACATTGTGACTACAATTCTAAGTTTTCATAGAATCTACATATGGGGTGGTTCTCAGTGGGAGGCAATGGTGCTCACAGAACAAGTCATTTACTATGTTAGACAAAAAAAGAGTTTATCACAGGGAATGCTTCCTCGGTGTTAGCCCCTCTGAATGCGGCCATGGGTACGCTTTCAGATGTGGCTAAGTTAACAATAAATATACAATAAATATTCCAATAAATACAATCTGGTACAAAAAGTTTCAAAATACATAATGAATCAACTTAGTATTTGTGAAACATAACATAACAAATTATACACTAATAATAAATTATATAACTACATATGAACAGATACTACAACAATACAAGGTGTATGTTCATACATTATAACAATTATAAATATATCCTTAAATAATAACACTGATATATAGTAACTGGATAGTAACAGTATAGCATGGTAGCATTAAGAAAACTGTTTATGCATAAATAGTTTACAGGTATGTAAAAGGTTATTAAAAGCTAATAATGGCATATGAATGATTATTCAAAGCTGTTAATGGTATGTAAAGGGTTAGCAAAGGCTGGCAATAGGTGAATGCTTGTGGAGGCTTCAGTATATACCTCACTGAAAGAATAAGCTAATGGACATTATTTCTTGTACTAAAACAAGTTTCTCTCTGCCTTTTTGTCCTCCTCACTATTTCAGCTTTCTTCCTGACTATACACTAAAACAGTCATGAGAGCCTGCTCTCACTCTTCTCACCAAGATTTTGGTCCAAAGATGTGCAATTAAAGTTTATCCACAAATATTCAGGTGTTAGGAAGTTGACACTAAGCTCTCTACACAAGCAGTTCCTTGAATCATACCTGAATGCCTTCCATTACCCCAGGATCTGAATGACTCCTATTGAAATTGCTTTTCCCATGAATGTAATAATACTAAAATACCCATGAGTCTGTTTAAGAGGACCAGGAGATTGTGATTTCTAAACTGGTGTATAGGTGCTGTATGACCCTTATAGGTTTAATAATAACAGACATAAGTTTTCATAAATCAAGATGTAGAAATTGAGCATAGGGCCTCAGTCTGCCAAATGAAACTGCTATCTTTACACACAGTTTATGTAATGTAGAGTTTAATTATCTTGTAGTTTATTGTATGCAAATGATGCTGAGAGATGCTAAGTGTGAGCCACCAAGGGTAAAAGATCAAAGGTTTCCTTGTGCTCAGATCATGTTTACTTTTCATACTAGTCCATAGATCCCTAACTCTTCCTAGGTAGGATGTTAAAGGTAATAGATGCATTACAGGGTTCTTAAAGTAGAAAGTAAGTTCTATGTCTTAGAATTTTAATATATAGAAGAATGTTAGGCATTTTCTGAAAGTTGTGTTGAATGTAGTGCTGTACGGTGTAACCCTTATGGGTTTAGTGTTTTTTTGTAAATAGTTTATATATTGCTACTGGTCTTAATCATGGATTGTTTGTGGAAAATTATGATTGGTTATGAAATTCTAAGTAAAGTTCACTCTTTTTGTAGCTGTAATTATGAATATTCCAGGTAAGTACTTGACATGCAAGTCAACTTGACTGTAAGCCATCATGTTGCAAGGCATGATGCCAGATTGATAGATACATGTTAACCTTTAAATGATCCTAGTGTCAGTTATTTGCAAAGTAATAATAAACATGTCAGAATGATCTATTTTTGTGCATTTATCAGTTAAGTGATAAAGTAGGACATGAACAGGTGCCACTGGGGCAAATCGTAATTTTTAGGAAAAAAATTGGCCTTTATATCTGCTACCCCTCTTGGATGAATAGGTATACATGTCAGTCAGACAATGTGTTCTTGTCTAGTGCTGATGTCCTGTGCCGAAGTCAAGAGCAGTTGATATATGTCTGGGTTAAGTACTGTATTGTTGACCTGTATCTGGGCTAAGTATTGTCGACCTGTGTCTGGGCTAAGTATTGTTGACTTATCTTTGGGCCGCATACCATTGATTGACGAGGTATTTTTGACCTATGTTGGATTATTATTATTATAATAAAAAAGAAGCACTAAGCCACAAGGGCTATACAGCGCTGCGACCTATGTTGGAGCTAAGTACGTACTGTCAACCTGTGTGAGCTAAGGACTACTGTCAACCTATTTATGTGCCAAGTATAGTGGGACAGTGTCTAAGCCAAGTTTACTGACACATCTATCAAGTGTTGTTGATCAGTTTACAAGTTTTGTCTATTGTCAGAAAATGAATAATATTTTGACTGCTGGTTCATTATTATAAGTGTTATTTTACGTATACTGTAGCATTAAACAATAAAAAGTGTAATGTTGAAAAATGTAGACTATGTATTTGTCTTAATTATTTAAATGTTATTCATGTACAGTATAAAAGAGCTTTTGCTTTATACCCCTCAAGGAAGGTTCCTTGATGTTGGTGAGGGGCTCTTGATTTAGGGAATTGGATCTGTGCTCCAGTTCCCCGAATTAAGCCTGAATGCCTTCCACATCCCCCCCCCAGGCGCTGTATAATCCTCCGGGTTTAGCGCTTCCCCCTTGATTATAATAATAATAATTTTGCTTTATACAAGTTTAGTACTTTGTGAATATAATATTTTCTTAAAGTTCTTTATTAATTAAATTACTAATATTAATCCTGCCATAAAATTAGCAAGAATAAACCTCCCTCAATAATGTTAGTATTCTAAAAAATATTTACAACTTAAATTCTTGACATACGTATATGATATGTTACATTCTTTTTGTCGCTGTTCTGTAATAAACATCTTTAGTACATCATGTATTGTAATTAGAATTTGTTTAAACTCTGGGTTTAGCCTATCACCCTACAGAAAGAACTCTACTAAGCAACAATCTAGCATAAAGTTAGCATAGCCTCCTGTGTGTGTGTGTTTGTGTGTGTGTACATGTATTCAATACATTACTTACATTTATATTTTGCTAAAAAGAAAATTAAATCCATATGCTGCTCAAAAATTTATACTACAGTACAGTACTGTAATTTGATGTTCTTTCTAATCAGTGTTCATTTTATTAAAGGTCTTGTACCACAGGTTTCCATTTTATGAACTGGCTTTGTGTTGTCAAAGTTGGATTTGTTAGGTCCAGCTTTGTTAGGAGGTTCTCAGGCTCTACATGAAGCCTCTCCTTGCTGATGCATGAAAGGAACTTTAGACATGAAGAGTGATGCTCAATAATCCACATGGAGATGGATCTCAGAAGGGCCTTGAAATACAGACCAATTAATCTTCCGAGTTTGTCTCCATATGGGTTATTATTGAGCACCGACAAGTGTTCATTTCACTTAGTTATCCATGAAGAGTGATCTTCAGAGAATCACAAAAATCCATCGTAGTACAGTAATGCACATTTTCAACTGATCTGAACTGTAAAAGACAAAGCACCTTATCTAAACATGTACAGCTTGGCCTGTGGGACAGGCTGGCCACATTTGCCGTGATAGACACGAGTAACGAGGCTTCTACCCAGGCTCCGGGAACGGCAGTTCTCCATCTGGAGGAAGCAGTCATTGCTGTAGGTCTTGCCATCAGTGCCACACACAGGGTCATACATAGCAGAGCACATTCTTCGACAGCTGAAGAACTTAAACCCAGAGAGGCACCTGTCCATGGGCACCTGGTAAATGTGTTTCCTGCAGTAAGGAAGAAAGGTTATGGTTAGAAAATAAGGTGCAAAAATTCCCCATTCCATTGACTTTTATTTATGGGGTTCATCTTTATAAGACCTGGTTTCCTTCAAGAGAGGTGCTTTGATGCTGGTTCTACCTAGGGATTGGCAGAGAGCATGTATAGTTCCTTTATATAAAGGGTAGGGGACAAAAGATAGTAAAAATTATAGGGGAATAAGTTTACTGAGTATACCAGGTAAAGTGTATGGTATGTACGGTTATTATTGAAAGAATTAGAGGTAAGAGAGTAAAGTATAGTAGTGCCAACACACTTATATGGGTGTGAAGCTTGGGTTGTAAATGCTGCAGCGAGGAGGCTGCTGGAGGCAGTGGAGATGTCCTGTCTAAGGGCAATGTGTGGTGTAAATATTATGCAGAGATTTCGGAGTGTGGGAATTAGGAGAAGTTGTGGAGTTACTAAAAGTATTAGTCAGAGGGCTGAAGAGGGGTTGTTGAGGTGGTTTGGTCATTTAGAGAGAATGGATCAAAGTAGAATGACATGGAGAGTGTATAAATCTGTGTATAAACCTGCTCACACTCCAACAGATCGTCAGGTCCCAAATACCATTCGTCTCCATTCACTCCTATCGAACATGCTCACACGCCTACTGGAAGTCCAAGCCCCTCGCCCACAAAACCTCCCTTACCTCTTCCTTCCAACCTTTTCGATGACAACCCCTACCCCGCCTTCCTTCCCCTACAGATTTAAACGCTCTCCATGTCATTCTACTTTGATCTATTCTCTGTAAATGACCAAACCACCTCAACAACCCCTCTTCAGCCCTCTGACTAATACTTTTATTAACTCCACTGTGTGTACTCACCTAATTGTGGTTGCAGGGGTCGAGACTCAGCTCCTGGCCCTGCCTCTTCACTGACCGCTACTGGGTCCTCCCTCTACCTGCTCCATGAGCTTTATCAAACCTCGTCTTAAAACTATGTATGGTTCCTGCCTTCACTACATCACTTGCCAGACTATTCCACTTCCTGACAACTATGACCAGAGGCCTGGTCTCAGACCGGGCCGCGGTCATATTGTGACCCTTGTTTCTGTGTCCCATCTATGGAACAACCTGTCTGTCCACCTTGTCAATTCCTCGCAGTATTTTGTATGTCGTTATCATGTCTCCCCTAACGCTCCTGTCCTCCAGTGTCGTCAGGCCGATGTGTGTGTGCGCGCGCATGCGTGCGTGCGTGCTCATACCACAGCCACATCTTTACATACCCGCAGTTCCTAGTCTTCATCTCACATTCATTGCGGTATATCTTCTTGTCGGAAGCACAGACGGCAACATCATCATTGTCACATGTAGTGAAGCAATCCTTGGTGGCTCGGCAGTGGTGAAGGGCCACAGGCACCACTCTGAAACCCAAGAAAAAGTGTCAGCCCATGGGATGTGGGAGAGTAAGTTAATTATGGTAGAGGGAGGGGCAGTCAAGGTAAATATCTGAATATGAATTGAAACCTAAAATTATGAATACTCGAATGTTTTCCCAGTGGTAAATTGTTCATAAATATTTATTAAATCTTGAAAGCAACATTGCCCAATACCAAATAGTGGATGGATTCCCCCACTGGCCTTATGCCAATGAGGGGGGAACGCGGCTCTTGGTCCAAGGATTTGGACCTATCTTCCCATTCCTTAGATTGAACCTGATTATTTTCCATTCCTCAGGTGTTGTATGACCCCTACAAGAATAATAATGTAATGACAGGTGATATGGCAGCTTCTGGGATGCCGAAGACTTCTCCACAGTGTCAACCCCTCAAGGAAGGTTCCTTGATGTTGGTGAGGGGCTCTTGATTTAGGAAATTGGGTCTGTGCTCCAGTTCCCCGAATTAAGCCTGAATGCCTTCCACATCCCCCCCCCCAGGCGCTGTATAATCCTCCGGGTTTAGCGCTTCCCCTTGATTATAATAATAATAATCCACAGTGTCAATAACAAGGAACTGCCTGTACCCCCAACCACCTTAAACACGAACCATGTCACTTAAGTTACAAAAATGGTACAAGTCGAGGAGTCTTTATTCTTGGAAGGTTGACAATATTGTAATAAAAGATCTTAGCCAATGAAATTTGACTAATTTTCTTTTAATGAAAATACCAACGAGAAATTAAAATATACTAATCTTTAAGTAATTTAACTATAGCTTTTAATTAGTTGCATAAGTCTATGCAGTATATTTAAAGTCTTGAATGATAGGCATCACACAGCATTGTTTCATGTGGGACAGCACGACTTACGTCTTAACCAGCCAGACTGTATATCCCTTGTGGCTTAGCGCTTCTTTTTGATAATTAACCAACCAGGGAAATACAACCACCATGCTCAGAGTGTGTGAAACGGAAACTTAATTGTTTTAAGCAATGACATGATTGCTGGTGTCTTTCCTTTCTGTCTCGACCATGAAAGGTAATAGGTACATCGTGCTACTTCTAGTCACTACACATACATGTACACACATCAATCCGTGTTTTCTTCTATTTTCTTAATAGTTCTTCTTTCTATTGAATCTATCGAACCTTAATAGTTCTTTTTCTTATTTATTTCCTTTCATATCCTGACCAGCAAAATATGATCAGTTATGAGGATGTCTTCACAAAATTCAACTTCAATAACGAAAACATACAATGGGAACAGGTCAACCATGTCCTAAATAAAACAAGCTGGGAAGATAGCCTAAACAACACTGATCCAAACCTTTGCCTAGAAAAAATAAACTGTGGTTCTTGATATCTACTCAAGGCACATTCCATTAAAAAAAGATGTAAACTGGAAAGAAACGCACGCTCCTTATGCAGACGAAGGCGGAGAATCAAAATTTCTGAGAGGGGCCAATATATCTGAAATACGAAGGGAGGCACTGGTCAATGAAATAGCAAATATCAAACTTTAGCTGAAGGAATCTTACACAGGAAGAATCAAAAGCCAAAAAGGAAATTGAAAAAAAACTCAAAATACTTCTTTTATGCCAAATCTAAGGGAAAAACAATATCCAGTATTGGGCCCCTGCTTAGGCGGGATGGGACATACACAGATGACAGCCATGAAATGAGTGAGATACTAAAGTCTCAATAAGACTCAGTGTTCAGCGAGCCGATGCCCAGACTAAGGGTCGACAATCCAAATGATTGAACAAGACCCAAAATTTGGTCATCTCAAAAATCTTGACATTATCCTAACACCACAAAGCTTTGAAAATTGAGAAAGCAATGACATGCCCATGCACTCTGCCCCAGGCCCAGACTCATAGAACTCTGTTCATCAAGAACTGCAAGTAGGCCCTGTCACTTGCCTTCAGCATTTTATGGAGAAGGATCATGGACATAGGAGTCATTCCACAGTTACTAAAAACAACAGACATAGCCCCACTCTACAAAGGTGGCTGTAAAGCAATTGCAAAGAACTACAGACCGATAGCACTAACATCCCACATCATAAAAAAAAACTTTGAAAGGGTTCTAAGAAGCAAGATCGCCAACCACCTAGATACACATCAGTTACACAACCCAGGACAACTCGGGTTTAAAGCAGGTCGCTCCTGCCTGTCCCAGCTACTGGAACAATATGACAAGGTCCTGGATGCTACAGAGGTTAAACAGAATGCAAATGTAGTATACACAGACTTTTGCAAAAGCCTTCGACAAGTGTGACCACGGTGTAATATCACACAAATGCGTGTGGATCTATAACTTCCTGACAAAGAGAACACAGAGTAATGGTAAACAGAGTCAAGTACGAGGCAGCTACGGTGAAGAGCTCTGTTCCACAAGGCACAGTACTCGCTCTTATCCTATTCCTCATCCTCATATCTGACAGATAGATGTAAGCCATAGCTCCGTGTGTTCCTTTGCTGATGACACCCGAATTGCCATGACAGTGTCCTCCATCGAAGACATCGCAAGACTCCAAGCGGACATCAACCAAATCTTCGAATGGGCCGTTCAAAACAGTATGAAGTTCAGTGAAGAGAAATTGCAACTACTTAGATATGGAAAACTTGAGGGAATTAAAACTATCAGGGTATACGACAAATTCTAGCCATACAATAGAGCGAGAAAGTGGGAGTGATAATGTCAGAGGATCTCGCCTTCAAAGACCACAATAATGTATCTACCGCATCTGCTAGGAAAATGATAGGATGGATAATGAGAACCTTAAAAACTAGGGATGCCAAGCCCATGATTCTCTTCAAATCGCTTGTTCTCTCTAGGCTGGAATACTGCTGTACACTAACTGCCCCCTTCAAGGGAGGCGAAATTGCTGACCTGGAGAGTGTACGAAGAACTTTCACGGCACACACAAGTACGATAAGGCACCTAAATTACTGGGAACGGTTAAGCCCCTCGATTTGTATTCCCTGGAACGCAGGCGAGAGAGATACATGATAATATACACTTGGAAAATCCTAAAGGGATTAGTATCAAACCTGCACACGAAAAATCACTCCCCATGAAAGCAAAAGACTCGGCAGGAGATACAACATTCCCCCAATGAAAAGCAGGTTGCCACGAGCACGCTAAGAGACAACACAAGACTGGTCAGCTGCCTCCTAGCATACATAAGGGGGATTACAAATAGATCCCTGGCTGTCTTCGAGAAGGCACTGGACAACCATGTAAAAGTCAGTACCTGACCAGCCGGGCTGTGGTTCGTACATTAGTTTGCGTGCGGCCAGCAGTAACAGCCTAGTTGATCAGACCCTGATCCCCTATACGAGGCCTGGTCTCAGACCGAGCTGCGGGGGCGTTGACCCCCGCAACCCTCTCCATGGGGAAGTGGAAAAAAGAATCCTTCGTAAGCCACGCGTGTCATAAAAGGCGACTTAAAATTCAGGGAGCAAGGTGGGAATCTGAATTTTAGTACTGGCATGCCTCTGGCAAGACAGTGATAGATTGAATGAGGGTGTTTCTTCTTTTGGGTCACCCTACCTCTGGGAGATGGCCCACGTGTTAAAAAAAAATAGTGAGTGGATTGCTTACCTCTGGTTGCAAGTCCTCCTCTTCATCTCACAGTAGGAGGAATAAGTGTTCCCATCAGAGCCACAAATGGGGTACTCCTCCTTGGTACTTGGGCAATCATTGGGACACTCGTCCTCCAGAGCATGGTCGAAGCATCTCCCATGGTGAGCTAACTCTACTCCCTTTCTGCTGGGGCAAGGATCGTACTGTTAGTGGTAATGTTGGGTAGCATTTAATTATGGTATATTTATTCCTCACACACTGTACCTCACCCATCATAGCCTCTTGCCTATGTCACTCACACCAGTTCCTCATACTGTATTCATTATGTAACTCATTGTGTAACTTCTCATAATAAAAGGGAATTCTCTACCAATCAAAAATATATTTCACAATGAGGACTTGTGGGAATGCATAGAGGAGGAGCTGTTTATAGGTATTCTAAGATTTTATGTGATTTTAGAGAGATGACACAGATTCTATTATGTACAGTAACGGTGTTATAGGGAACTTCACAGGTTCTGTGAAGATTTATGTGAAGGTGTTATGGAAAGTAGAAAGAGATTTGTAGGGCATTATATATGTCAGTAGTTTACATATTTTGAAGGCTTTAAAGACTGAATTTGCAAGTGTTGTAAGAATTTATGTACAAATACAATTGAAAACTTAAAAAAATAATCTATGCTAATAATACATATAGGCACAAAGACCACCAAATATGTATACCTAAGAATATATATGCATGCAGATCTTAATGCACGAAAACCCACTTGCAAGTTGCAATATGCAGAAGGCAGTAGTTGGCATAGGTAGTGCTGTCAGTGCCACAAACGGGGTCATCAATATTGGGAGGGCAGGTCATCTTGGCACACTTAACATTCTTCTTCAGGCATTTCTCAAGATCCACTTTGTAGACTGCACCTGCCCCACCAGACCTGTCAAAGGAAATTGGAAGCATTCAGCTTCGATCTAAGAGGAGAGCAGGTTCGATTCCTTGGATCAAGAAACAGGGAACATCCCTGAAGGAGAATATTAATAAAAATATTTAAAAAAAAAGCATTAGAACAGCCTGCAAAAGACACCCAGTTGTCACAGTGATACAAACTGCTGTATTTCAAGACTGGGTTGAGCATTTTCCGTGAATATATATGTATATCAAGAACTAATATAATAACGTGTTAAACCCCAAAAAGGTCATACAGCTCTGAATAATAATAAAAATATAATCAAAGGATTGGGAAAAATTGTCTGATCTCCATGCAAAGGTAATAGGAACATACAACCCAATGTACGTTACACAGTTATCTAATTGGTGTTAAAGTGACCAACTCTTCATTATTTCAGTCACCCCTTAGGGGAGGTTCCTTGATGCTGGTGAGGGGCTCTTGATCTAGGGAATTGGATCTGTGCTCCGGTTCCCTGAATTGAGCATGAATACCTTCCATCCCCCCCCCCCCTCACAGGCGTTGTATAATCCCTAAAGGTTTAACTCTCCCCTATGATAATCTTAGGCACTGTAAGAACCGTACGAGTGTAGCGCTCCCCCATCAGTGTAATAATTCACAGTTTAACTTATTTCTTCATCACATGTTCCTGAGGATGATAATGAACCCGAGGATGTCATCAACCAAGACAGAAACTGATGTAAAAATGAATTTTAAAATGTTGTTATGATTCATAACTTTATATCCTGGCTGAGTAACACTGAATTGTTTATGTAACGTTTGATATTGTTAGTAAATATTGTCAACGCTGTATGACCCTGCTGGTTTAGCGTTTAGTTTTGATCATAATGTGAATATTGTATAACAGTAATATCTTAGCGTCCTATGGACTTGCAAGAAGTTATCATTTAAGATTCTTGCCAACATACACGGAGTATCAAGTCTGCAGCCACAAAATATAAATATTGTTTTAACACACCAGCTGGGAGATAGAAGCAATTATTATTAATAGCAAGACTAATTTTGCTGTTATTCAGTCTTGGTATGTGTTACCTGACTTAGTTCACCTGTCTCAATACTCACACTAATGAACAGATGACAGAAGATTATACAACTTTGTAAATACCGCTGACTGTCTATTTAAGAGAATTAAAGGGAAGGTATCTAGTTAATTTTTTGGAGGGGAAAAAACTTGTGGTTAACTTGTGGACCAATTAAGCAAGATGCTTAAAAAAAAAAACTTGTATCTGTATCAAGTGCTATTAATAACTACTAGTTTTGTTCAAATGTGAAAGTGGCAGCAGTGTAGGTAACCCCACAAGGTGGGAAGGTTGACGCACCCGCATGTCAGACGACGCATGTCACACTCGCTGTCATAGATGTTGCCATTGGAACCGCACACAGGTGTTGCCTTCTCTCCCTTGCATGACACTGGGCAGGCCCCGCTGGTCCTCTCCTGGGGACGACACTCACCCATAGGTCGCTGGTAGATGTGTCGCCTGTGGGAGGAATTACATGTCACCAGAATGCATCTCCTACAAAGATCAACAACTGCACCAGAAATGCTCTTAATATAAATAACCTATCTGAAGGAATGCATAAGTATGTGAATGTTTTTAAATATAAATTGTTATGCAAAGCAAAAAATCCAGATTGAAAAAAAGGGGAACTTAGATACATTTAGCATGCCAAGTAAAAAATGGATGATGGAATTTTATTTTGATAAAAGCCTTTTAATGAAAATGAAAATATCATTAATAATATACTGTTGTTTGTATGATAAAATTTTGTAGCAAGACAGAAGGCCTAGTAGCTCCCTCCTCTCGTGGGATGGCCCTCCCGGGCCATGGGCACAACACACAAGACGTTTATCATTAACCACCCGCTTTCAGATACACCAAATAATCCTTTATAATACTCACCCCAAGACCTTGGCAGTTATAAACCAAATTATCCTATTAACGTGGTGGTTAAGAAAAATTATGCAATTGTGCAATGTAATGAGGCGTTCTCGAAGATCACTTTGTGTATATTGGCCTCAATCCGTAATTTAGAAATTGCTGACACGTTCCTGCTGAAGAATTGACAGTGTGGAAAACCCTTACAAGTCGGCAACCAGGACGGAAAAATAAAAGACTTCAATGAGCCCTTCTCAACAACACACCTTAGCTAAGTGAAGCTTACCATAATGTACAGTAATTTTTGCATTGGCCATCGTAAATCTTATCTGCTAGAGTAGTGTCAGGATGTGTTCCATCAGCATTAAGTGTATTCCAGTAATTAAATGGTAAGTGTTAATACAAATTACATTTTGTGTACCCAGCAAGCCTAATTGTATACAGTCCACAACTTCAATTTACCAGAGTAGCTGGTTTTAATATTATAATTATTAATTTAAAGTCAAGTCTAGCTTTCTGTGAGAGTGGTAGGGAATGGGCAACGAGGGAGTTACAGTTCAGCGACCTGCTGTGACTTAAGTCCCACTTACCTCACCCAAATTACTTGCAGATAATTCAGTTAAGGCCTTGTAAGCCTCCTGCAGGTGATTTGCTCACATGTAATAATAATTTTCACACAAACTAAGAGTATCAAGAATTTCTTCATTAGAGGACAGAAGAGGAAACACGATAACTACTGTACAGCACATAAATTCACAGTAAGAAACAAATCTGTTTCATTTATGCTAATGTAAAAGTTTCCAGCAGACCATAGTAGGTCAGATACATTGTTGAATTATTATATGATTTCTGTTGGTTCGGAAAAATCTATATAACCAAACCTAGGAATCAAGGGTGCCGGAAAATCGTTGTACCTGTATTAATACTGATATTAGTAGTTTCTAGACTGGTACTGATAATACCAGTGTTGTAAATGATTTAGAAAACCGACAAATTGAAGAATGAGATACTTGTGCAACATTTGGGAATTATGTTAGAAACGTTTCGTCAACAGTGGCTTCTTCAGTCCAATACAAAGAACAGTGGAAAAAGAGGAGGAGTTTGAGGTAATCAGTCCTTCAGCTACTGGTTGGTGAAAAGTTTCCTCAGCATAGATTCCGAAATGTTGGACGAGTCTCATTCTTCAATACCAGTGTTAGCATGACAGATTCCTTCATGGACAAATTTTACCTGTGATTTCTCCCTTTACCATTCATTCATTAACTCTTTCTCACTTTTACTCTGTCACTCGCATCCCCCACCACACATAGGTGGGTACATCAGTCCAGTCCCTGGACCCATCATGTACCTCTGTAATCATGTGACTACCGACCATAGGATGGGTATGGGGTGCATAATAAACACATTAAACGCAAACTGTCTCTTACCCACAGTTCCTAATCTTCATCTGACATTTATTGTTGTAAATTCTTCCATCTGAGGCGCACACAGCCTTGAAGGAGTAAAGACAAACATCTTGGCAGTGTTTGGTGGTTTGACAATGTTTGTAAGACGTCTTGGCCACCTGTTGCCTGTGAATAACAAATTAAATACATTATATATATATATATATATATATTTTATATATATTATATATATATATAATATATATATATATATATATATATATATATATATATATATATATAATATATAAATTATATACAGTTGACCCTTTATTATTGTAATAAAAAGTAGACTGTAAACCCACCAGGGTCATCCAGGGCAGGTGACCCTTGAACAACGCGGGGGGTTAGGGGCGCCGACCCCCCGCGTAGTTGAAAATCTGTGTATAATTTTTGACTCTTTAAAAACTTAACTAAAAATAATGGCGTTCTGTTCACCGGAAGTCTTACCCATAACAAGTAGTCGATTAACACATTTTGTTTATATATTATGTACTGTATTCTTACAATACCTGGAGACCTGGAGTTTACCTGGAGAGAGTTCCGGAGGTCAACGCCCCCGCGGCCCGGTCTGTGACCAGGCCTCCTGGTGGATCAGCGCCTGATCAACCAGGCTGTTGCTGCTGGCTGCACGCAAACCAACGTACGAGCCACAGCCCGGCTGATCAGGAACTGACTTTAGGTGCTTGTCCAGTGCCAGCTTGAAGACTGCCAGGGGTCTGTTGGTAATTCCCCTTATGTGTGCTGGGAGGCAGTTGAACAGTCTCGGGCCCCTGACACTTATTGTATGGTCTCTTAACGTGCTAGTGACACCCCTGCTTTTCATTGGGGGATGGTGCATCGTATGCCAAGCCTTTTGCTTTCGTAGTGAGCGATTTTCGTGTGCAAGTTCGGTACTAGTCCCTCTAGGATTTTCCAGGTGTATAAAATCATGTATCTCTCCCTCCTGCGTTCCAGGGAATACAGGTTTAGGAACCTCAAGCGCTCCCAGTAATTGAGGTGTTTTATCTCCGTTATGCGCGCCGTGAAAGTTCTCTGTACATTTTCTAGGTCGGCAATTTCACCTGCCTTGAAAGGTGCTGTTAGTGTGCAGCAATATTCCAGCCTAGATAGAACAAGTGACCTGAAGAGTGTCATCATGGGCTTGGCCTCCCTAGTTTTGAAGGTTCTCATTATCCATCCTGTCATTTTTCTAGCAGATGCGATTGATACAATGTTATGGTCCTTGAAGGTGAGATCCTCCGACATAATCACTCCCAGGTCTTTGACGTTGGTGTTTCGCTCTATTTTGTGGCCAGAATTTGTTTTGTACTCTGATGAAGATTTAATTTCCTCATGTTTACCATATCTGAGTAATTGAAATTTCTCATCGTTGAACTTCATATTGTTTTCTGCAGCCCACTGAAAAATTTGGTTGATGTCCGCCTGGAGCCTTGCAGTGTCTGCAATGGAAGACACTGTCATGCAGATTCGGGTGTCATCTGCAAAGGAAGACACGGTGCTGTGGCTGACATCCTTGTCTATGTCGGATATGAGGATGAGGAACAAGATGGGAGCTAGTACTGTGCCTTGTGGAACAGAGCTTTTCACCGTAGCTGCCTCGGACTTTACTCTGTTGACGACTACTCTCTGTGTTCTGTTAGTGAGGAAATTATAGATCCATCGACCGACTTTTCCTGTTATTCCTTTAGCGCGCATTTTGTGCGCTATTACGCCATGGTCACACTTGTCGAAGGCTTTTGCAAAGTCTGTATATATTACATCTGCATTCTTTTTGTCTTCTAGTGCATTTAGGACCTTGTCGTAGTGGTCCAATAGTTGAGACAGACAGGAGCGACCTGTTCTAAACCCATGTTGCCCTGGGTTGTGTAACTGATGGGTTTCTAGATGCGTGGTGATCTGCTTCTTAGGACCCTTTCAAAGATTTTTATGATATGGGATGTTAGTGCTATTGGTCTGTAGTTCTTTGCTGTTGCTTTACTGCCCCCTTTGTGGAGTGGGGCTATGTCTGTTGTTTTTAGTAACTGTGGGACGACCCCCGCGTCCATGCTCCTCTCCCATAGGATGGAAAAGGCTCGTAATAGGGGCTTCTTGCAGTTCTTGATGAACACAGAGTTCCATGAGTCTGGCGCTGGGGCAGAGTGCATGGGCATGTCAAAATGTTAAGAAAATCATAAGGATGAGAACATACATTTACAATACTTCATTGTATTTATTCGTTCTTTAAGTTCAGTTCGTCTGTTTAAAAGATGGATCATCTCAGTACCTACATCAATATTGTCATATATGGTACAAAACACTGTAGATATTGTACGTATTACTAATACTAGACATCAAAAATGGAAAGATGTGAAAAAGAAATTCATTTATTTACGATTTAATATTGCATCTTCACATTTGTTTACATTTCTCTAGACTGTGACTGCAACATTTATGATCTGTAATTGTATGTGTGAGTCAGTTTTGTACCTTTTATCTCTAATTCGCTATTAGTGTATATATGTTGCTATGATAATGTTTGTCACCTAAATTTGTGTACCTGTAGTTTTTTTACAGTAATCTTTAAATACAGATTTGTATTTTGCATTGGATTCTCGTGGCCACACTTCAGGACGCTGTCAAGGAGGTTGTTAGCGACCTTGAACTGTTGAACAGCAGAGAGTGTCCTCTTAATGTAACCCAACACTCGCTCTCACCACCCGTGTAGCCACCCACACCAAAGAAAACCATGTAATATACAAGACATTAATAAAAATTTCCGGTCTGGAGTCGTCAATATCACGGCTGAGAGATTTTGTTCTCACTCCAGTTCACTCAACCAAACTGCTGGGTTCCACTCTGATGAGCTCACTTGCAGTTTGGCTTTGATTTTGGGCCGGGATGTGGTTTGGAGTCTGGCTTGTATTGGCTTGACTTGGCTTGCCACGCACAGCACCTAGACTGGTTTGATTTGACTGGCCTTCTATCGAGTATGGCTTGGCTTCTCCTCTTTTTGGCTTGGCCTGGAATCTGGCTTGGCTCTTCGACTGGTCTCCATTTAGAAAATTTTACTTCTTAATACTCATTGCTTCAATATTGTCTCTCTGCAAGTAAATTAAAAATCTGATGACCAAATGCTACATTTAGCGCTGTCATATAACTTGTGCATCTTTTCAATGTTGACAAGACTGAAAAAACAGACTGATGGTAATTAAGTTTATTTAGGTAAAATTATCAAACAGTGTAAATGACCTAGGATAACCAAAAAAAAGTCAAAGTGACTTATTTCCATTGGGATCCTTGCCTTATTGCCATTGGCACAACATAAATTTGTGCAATAAAGAGGAACTGCAATGTTAGTCTCTCTTAGCTGTTGTTCCGAGGGTAGGAGGTCATTGGGCAGCTCAACTTATCCTGTGAACCAACAAGAAGACCACTCTCCCACGCTGTTTTCTGGAGAATACTTCCACCCACTGACCGCCTGCTCTCGCCTCCACAGTGACAAAGCACTTTCGTGATCTGTTCCTCTGATATCTGCCGTGATCTTTTATTTTCTCACTGGCTAAAAGTTATTATCCTGCCTCAGTTCATTTCTATTTCCACTTTTATATAAAGCATTATTACGAGTGTTTTTTGTCAAGCTAGATGATTATTCAAGGAGTTCTGGAAGGACTCTCACTAAGTAACTGACCAACATCTTGTAACAAGATATTGGAACAATATCTGGTCTAGTTATCCTTGTAGAAAATCAGTATAGCGATAAAGATTTAATTTCAACTAGGAAACAAAAATCCAACAAATATAAAATTAACTATCTTTAATGTTAAAGTATTTAAGCAAATACTCTCTTTTCTTATTAATTTATATTGAAGAATACTCAAGGTACCTTATTAATGAAGGTACAAGATTTACAATTGTCTTCGTAAGTATCTTAATTTAAGGTAACTCAAAGTCATGAATTTACATGAAAAGTTATAAATACATAGTAATTTCAATGGAACTAACACATTATCCATACAAGGACGGATCTTACGATATAGTCAAAGATCCTAAATCCCAAGCTCAAATTAGGAGTTTGTATAACACTATCACTTCTATGTCAGGATCAATGAAATGAAAGTAGTGATCATAATTGTGGGACTTTGTATAGACTACCGAATCTATGCTCAACACAGGTTATTACAATCTACGTCTTAGTGTAGTTGTACTCAAAATTAAAATCTATATTCTATAGTTATGGAGACAGACATAGAATGTCTGAAAGACATACACCTTAAGAAACAGCGCAAATAACCAAGTCTATTAATAACTGTTTTTCCACCAATACACAGTAAGAAACAGCGCAAATAACCAAGTCTATTAATAACTGTTTTTCCACCAATACACAGTAAACCACGAGTCACCAACCACACCGTTTCTTAAAGAAACTTGTAACTTATCAGACAATCAGAGGACAGAGAGATATGTTTACTGTGTTCAGGGCTGGACAAGACTCTCTGAATCCATCACGTGACTCAGTCAGCAGTAAGCTCGACCCTAAACCAACTAACAGTAGTTAACGTAATTGTTTACCACCCTCAGTAATTTGTTCTCCTCACTTAACAAAAGAAACACATCCTACCTATTTACATAGGAAATTAATAATAATAATAATAGTAATAATAATAATAACAATAATAACTGATGAGACATAATATAAAGCCAAACTTCATCATTGTAGCTATTAATGAAGATATTAGCGATATAATATTAAGTGAGTTACATTATATTTTTACAGTATTTAATTAAATACAACATTGGGTACCATACACGGGGCGCAACAAGCATAATAATCCTTCCCTCCCCCTCTCGCATCATTACCACCAACAGCCGACTAACACCCACTTACCTATTCATTATTACGTCAACAAACATACTAGCAAGTGTAATGAGACTTGCCCATACGGACCGAACAGCCTGGGAATCAAACAAGAGCCCTTTTCAGCTGCGAACCCGATGGTCTCTCCCACTGAGCTAGAGGATCGGACTCTACCATGTTCGTAAAACTGTTCCACTTTAGCCCTAACACAAACGTTGCCAAAAAATATTTCCCGACATGTCTGTATAGTTGATTTATCCTTCTCATAAAAGAAAATCACCTAACATCCGTGTCTTTGTCACCCGAATCTTCAGCATCCACAAAAAACTCAACTTTATGTAGGGTTATTACATATAATTTTACACACTGGTTATAGTTATACAATGTTTGTAATAAACACTAAACATTAGTATAAGTTACACAGCACTTGTCTCAGTTCTCATGCTTATATATGCTGTGTTATTTAGGCGAGTGTTGGGTCAACGCTGGTGCTGTGTATTAGTGAATGACAGATCAATTTTACACGCTAAGAGCTGTTATCTTGGCTCAGCTTATTTCAAAGATCTAAGGCTGCCAATCCTCAGGATGTGACTCACAACAGTTGACTAACATCCAGGTACCTGCTTACTGCTAGGTAAACAGGAGCAGCAGTTGTAAGGAAACATACCTCACGTTTTTACCCATGCTGGGACTCGAACCACGGACACTCAGTGTGTGAGCCGAGTGAGTTGCCAGCCGAGCCACGGGACACCTATTGATGCATGTAGTAAATGAAATTCTGCATGATTCCTTATCCTTATCTGCATGATTCCTTAATGGTTGATATTCATCTAGAAGACCAGTTAGCATTTACCTGCAAGTTCTAGTCAGAACACCTACAGGTCCAGTCAATACTAATCCAGAAGACCAGTTAATATTCACCTGCAAGGATCGTCAGAACTCACCCGCAGGTCCTGTGCTGGAGATCGCAGGTCGAGTTGTACACGTTACCATCGGAGCCACAGATGGGTCCGTCCATCGGGGAAGACGAACAATCAGTCGGGCAGGAGCTCGTGGAGTTGCTGTCACCCACACACACGCCATAGTGTGCGAACTTCACGCCGGACCTGCAACCAAAACGAACTGAAAGTCAGGAACTACAAACAAGACGAACTCTGGATTAGATATACAACCACGACGAACTCAGAGTTAGGACCTGCAAGCACATTTTAAAGGTTAAGTAGGTAAAAGGATGGTATATAAGAGGATGGTAAATACAGTAGTTAAATAGGATGGTGAATAGATAAACAGTATAGTAAACAGATATGTAGGCAATTATATAGGTAGTGATATTAACAAGCTGGTGGGCCAATGGGCAAACGAGAAGAAATGAGGTTGAACAAGTAGGTGAGAAACAGATGCACGAGTAAAGCCCAAGACTCTGGCTAGAGGATAAACAGTTGGATGCATAAATCAATTACAGTGGAAGATATTTATAGAAATACGTACTAGCTGATAAAGTAAGACGTGCAACAGTTATTCATCTTATCACATTCATGTACTTGCTATTGAAGACATGCTTAGAAATCTAACATTAACACTGAAGCTTTTCAAATTAATTTTTAAATGCATAAAAGGTTAACACTCGTAAACCTTCAACCTAATGATAGGATCTTCAGAAATACGTTACCTATTTAGAAGTTTTGACATAAAACTATAGTTCCACAAATCTTATACTTATATAGGGAAGACCATCAAAATTAGTCGCTAAAACTAGAAGAATCGAACAATAAATTTTCCTCTTGAACCTTCTCTAGGCAGAATTATTAATTAAAAAAAATCACATGGGTTTTTACTTCCAGTGGGTTAGTTTAGGTGTCTACACAGACATAAACAGAGGATGAACCAAGACCACCACATTCCTGAGTCATGACTCTATAAGCAGAGTGACTTCATCCCCCAGTGTTCCACCACACACTGCAAGCAAGCTTTGTACATCTCCCTCACCTGTCGTGACACCTGCTTAGCTCCTTCTCCTGCATCACCAGCATACCTGTTGGTGATGCAACATTACCCTCTCCACAACTCCCCTTACCCCAACCCCTTCAAAACCCCATAACCAACCCTAATGTCAACTAGGAACACTCATCCTTTTCCTTTCCCATTAGAAACACCCCAGCCCCTTATTCAAGTCAAGACATATCAATCCAGAGCAACATGAGAAAAACAATACATAAGAGTATTGCTGACAGAATCTTAAACAAAGTCAGAAATTTCAAAGAATGATGAGCAGGTGTTCCGAGAGTCACGACCAGACCTTGACTGGTGGCTGCTGGTCACACTCCTGGCTGCTGGTAATGCTTCTACATACATACACAGGCTTACTAATGACCTAGATGAAGTTGTGTCTCTGGAATTACTCTCCTTGGGAGGCTATACGCTGATCCCAGCGCCTCTGGCACTTCTACAAACATTTCTGGAACTCTTCTTTCGTAATAGCGCCTAGCACAGCCTATGAGTCTGCCTGAATCTCCTCCATGTCCTTAAAACACCACCCCACAAATGTTATTTTTATATTTGGGAAGAGACAGAAGTCACAGCATGTTATCTGGCGGCCAGAAAAATATGGTCTTTCTGGTCTTCAGTCAGCAAGTGAGGCACAAATATTGCAGCCACTCGCCTCATACTCAAATTTTCAGTCAAAATGCTGTGACACGACCCATAAGAAATTTCCACAGCACTTGCAGTGTCCTGGATACTCTGACGACGATCTTCCTGAATATCCTTCCTCAATTTTTTTCAATGCTGGCGTCTATTTTTGACTTTCAGAGAGGACGACCAGTGTTCGTTATCCTCAACTGATATTCGTCCTGCTCTGAATCGAGAAAATAATTCAAAACACTTTGCCCGACCCATTATTCATCGCCAGATGTTTACTGTACCATTTTGCGAGTTCCGTTGGCCATTATACCCAGCCTGAAACAAAGTTTCACACTCCTACACTTTTCACAAAAATTCGCAACAATGTACTGACATGACAAAAAATGCCCGTCTAACTTCAACGGAATGACCGATAGCACTGAAATTCGCTAATATGTCACGAAGTTTACTGTGTAGCGTGATCTACACTGCCGCTATCTCTCACTCAGGAAGTCAGCAAAAATTCTAGCCTGGGAACTTTTTGAAAGGATTTCGAATATTAGTTTTTGAAGGAACTCATTTTGAACACAGCCATACTGCAAATGTTAAACTTCTCAAGAAGCGGAGATTATTCTTTTTCTTCTTCTTCTTATTATTATTATTGCTGTTATTATTATTAATATGGTTAAAAAAAGCGAACCATATAGGCTCACTGTGTTAAATGACAGAGGGAAAAAGCGTGTACAATTTACAGTTGAAGAATTGAGACACTTATGCAACACATGGGAATCTTTATTGAAGAAACGTTTCGCCACACAGTGGCTTCATCTGTCCAATACAAAGTAGACGTGGGTAAGGAGAGTAGAAGTTTGAGGTAATCAGTCCCTCAACCTGGAATCAAAACCATTCATCACAATTTACAGTGTAGAGTGTCTCCTGATAAGGGTCTTAACCAGATCCTGACGGCGTCCAGTGGTTCAGCATCCGCTGGTCTAGCACAGCTCAAGGGCAAGATGTGTGAAGGATGCGCGTGTGTGCTCACGTGATAACAGGAATGTCAAAGTTTGCGTAATAAGTCTGAGTTGCTACATCATATACTGTCGACACTGAAGGTGGGGCCTTCCCAGGATACGGCAGCCATGGTGAAAACACCAGGATGTTAGGGAAGAGGTCAGAGAGTCGAGGAGAATTTTGAGAAAGGGAAACTATCCCTGTTCTTTATGCTGATACAATTCCCCCATCATAGTAACGTGACCCCAGAGGTCTTCCTTTCTCATTTGTTAGTTATAATACTTCCCACCCAGCAGTGCCGCCTTCCCAACCCCTGGCAGTGCCACCCACCCGACCCCTGGCAGTGCCACCCACCCGACCCCTGGCAGTGCCACCCACCCAACCCCTGGCAGTGTCACCTACCCAACCCCTGGCAGTGCCGCCTTCCCAACCCCTGGCAGTGCCGCCTTCCCAACCCCTGGAAGTGCCGCCTTCCCAACCCCTGGCAGTGCCGCCCACCCGACCCCTGGCAGTGCCGCCCTCCTAACCTCCGGCAGTGCCACCCACCCGACTCCTGGCAGTGCCGTCTTCCCAACCCCTGGCAGTGCCACCCACCCGACCCCTGGCAGTGCCACCTACCCAACCCCTGGCAGTGCCACCTACCCAACCCCTGGCAGTGCCACCTACCCAACCCCTGGGCAGTGCCACCTACCCAACCCCTGGCAGTGCCACCTACCCAACCCCTGGTAGTGCCACCTACCCAACCCCTGGTAGTGCCACCTACCCAACCCCTGGCAGTGCCACCTACCCAACCCCTGGCAGTGCCACCTACCCAACCCCTGGCAGGGCCAACTACCCAACCTCTGGCAGTGCCACCTACCCAACCCATGGCAGTGCCACCTACCCAACCCCTGGCAGTGCCACCTACCCAACCCCTGGCAGGGCCACCTACCCAACCCCTGGCAGTGCCACCTACCCAACCCCTGGCAGTGCCACCTACCCAACCCCTGGCAGTGCCGCCTACCCAACCCCTGGCAGTGCCTCCTACCCGACCCCTGGCAGTGCCACCTACCCAACCCCTGGCAGTGCCACCTACCCAACCCCTGGTAGTGCCACCTACCCAACCCCTGGTAGTGCCACCCACCCGACCCCTGGCAGTGCCACCTACCCAACCCCTGGCAGTGCCACCTACCCAACCCCTGGCAGTGCCACCTACCCAACCCCTGGCAGTGCCGCCTTCCCGACCCCTGGCAGTGCCACCTACCCGACCCCTGGCAGTGCCACCCACCCGACCCCTGGCAGTGCCACCCACCCGACCCCTGGCAGTGCCACCTACCCAACCCTGGTAGTGCCACCTACCCAACCCCTGGTAGTGCCACCTACCCAACCCCTGGCAGTGCCACCTACCCAACCCCTGGCAGTGCCACCTACCAACCCCTGGTAGTTGCCACCTACCCAAACCCCTGGTAGTGCCACCTACCCAACCCCTGGCAGTGCCACCTACCCAACCCCTGGCAGTGCCACCTACCCAACCCCTGGCAGGGCCAACTACCCAACCCCTGGCAGTGCCACCTACCCAACCCATGGCAGTGCCACCTACCCAACCCCTGGCAGTGCCACCTACCCAACCCCTGGCAGGGCCACCTACCCAACCCCTGGCAGTGCCACCTACCCAACCCCTGGCAGGGCCACCTACCCAACCCCTGGCATCATTCAAGATTACAATATATTCCCTCGTACCAATAACACCGAGACATGTATTATTTACATTTTAAACTGCTTGTGGCCAGACTATATTGTGTACATGTTGGCCACGTCATTCATCACCTATACTCACCTGTAGTTCTCCTTCACACCTGTGATTCTTCCCTAACACCTGTACACACCTGCAGTTCTCGACGCGCTGGACACAGAGGTTGAGGTAGGTGCGGGCGTCAGAGGCACACACGGGGTCGTAGGTGTTGGTGCACTTGTGATCACAGCTGGCACCATGTGCTCTCAGGCACTGACTGTCCGGTACCACGTACACATCTGTTGGCGCACATGTGTAAGTTAAAACTTACCCACACGCACATAGTGTATGCACACAAATATGTACAGATTATATATTATAGATTATTATATATATATATAATATATTATATATATCATAATATATATATATATATTATATATATATTATATATATATATAATAATATATATATATATATTACTATATATAATATATATATAATTAATATTATATTATATATATATATTAATAGATAAAAGTTATTCGGAATATATTTTCTGTGCGAGTTTTTCTTTTCCATATGAGCTTTGTGACCCTTAAGGGTTTAGTGCTTCACCATAAAACCATGAATCCTGTGATACTCCAATACTGAAACTATATACTGTGCCAAAACAAAAGCATTCACATTGCTAAACTCACAAACTAGTATTTAGTCACTTAGCCATAATACCAACTTACCTCATAATTTGTAATATTTTACAATTAAGAATAAAACTAAGTCTGCCCGAAATGCCTAGCCATGCTAAGCGTTCTAGTGGTACACTCTGTAATCACAATTTTACTACATGTAAACCAAACAATAACCAAATTTCTGTAAACTCAGCATTGTAATCCTTATAGAGAATAAACTTTGAATTTGAATTGAATTTGAATAAGTATGGGAAACCTTACATGACTTAATTTTTTTAAATTTTCACATTAATCAAGGAATATTAGGGTGAGACTCACTGTTGTCACAGTTATACTTCTTCATCTCACAGTAGTTGGAGTACAGTACACCGTCACTGCCACACACTGGCTTGATCTCCTTGGGACACACCTGGGAGCACCCGCGTGAGCCTCGAGCCAGACTCACACCTGCAAGGAGAAAAAATGATATGTTCAACTATTTATCAAGTATTCTTACTATTCTCACGATATACGAGTGTCAGAGTATATTGGCAGCGACACTTATATGGGTGTGAGGCATGGGTTATCAACGTTGCAGCGGAGGAGGAGGCTGGCGGCAGTGAAGATGTTGCTTTTGAGAGCTAGGTGAGGTGTGAACATCATGCAGAGAATTCGGAGTTTGGATATTAGATGTGGGGCGGGGTTACTAAAAGTATTATTCAGAGGATTAATTAAGGGTTGTTGAAGTGCAGTAGACAGATAAGGAGAATGGAACAAAATAGGAAGAAGTGGAGAGAAGACAAGGTAGGGGTGGTCCTAGGAAAGGTTGAATGGAGAAGGTAAATGAGATTTTGAGTGCTAGTCGCTTGGACATCCAACAGGTTTGTGCGACTGTGTTAGATAAGGAGTGGAGGCAAGTGGCTTTTATGACTTGACGTGATGTTGGAGTGTGAGAAAGGTAACATTTATGAAAGGATGGAAAGGAACCAGTTCGCTGGACTTGAGTCCTGGAGGTGGGACTTCAACGCCTACACTCTGAAGTAGGAGTCGGGGATGTTGCAGTTATAATAATAATTATTTCTACAAGTACATGTACAAGGTATACATGTCTAGCTGACATCAGTAACATACTACTATATAGAAAGCCTCTTGTTATGCTGAGCATTTCGAACAAATTAAGTCCGCTTTGTCCTAGGATGCGACCTACACCAGTCGACTAACTCCCAGGTAACCAGTTTACTGCTAGGTGAACAGGGACAGCAAGTGTCTTAAGGAAACCACGTCCTAATGCGTCCACCCGTAACGGGGATCGAACCCCGGACCGCAGAGTGTGAGCTACGGGAGAGTCATCTGAAGTATAATGTCAGCACGATAGTGAATGATACCGAATATGTTTCGTATTTTTCGGGTCACTACCTCAGTGGAAGATTACGTCTCCCTCAGGCAGCGAATTGCTTATTGGGAAACTCCGGGAGACTACCACACCCTCGTGGACCACCTCCCCACACCCCCTGGACCACCACCCCACACCCCCTGGACCACCTCCCCACACCCCTGGACCACCACCCTACACCCCCTGGACCACCACCCTACACCCCCTGGACCACCACCCTACACCCCCTGGACCACCACCCTACACCCCCTGGACCACCACCCTACACCCCCTGGACCACCACCCCACACCCCCTGGACCACCACCCTACACCCCCTGGACCACCACCCCACACCCCCTGGACCACCACCCCACACCCCCTGGCCCACCACCCCACACCCCCTGGACCACCACCCTACACCCCCTGGACCACCACCCTACACCCCCTGGACCACCACCCTACACCCCCTGGACCACCACCCTACACCCCCTGGACCACCCCCACACCCCCTGGACCACCACCCTACACCCCCTGGACCACCACCCTACACCCCTGGACCACCTCCCCACACCCCCTGGACCACCACCCCACACCCCCTGGACCACCACCCTACACCCCCTGGACCACCTCCCCACACCCCCTGGACCACCACCCTACACCCCCTGGACCACCACCCTACACCCCCTGGACCACCTCCCCACACCCCCTGGACCACAACCCCAACACCCCCTGGACCACCACCCTACACCCCCTGGACCACCTCCCCACACCCCCTGGACCACCACCCTACAACCCCCTGGACACCACCCTACACCCCCTGGACCACCACCCTACACCCCCTGGACCACCTCCCCACACCCCCTGGACCACAACCCCACACCCCCTGGACCACCACCCTACACCCCCTGGACCACCACCCTACACCCCCTGGACCACCTCCCCACACCCCCTGGACCACCACCCCACACCCCCTGGCCCACCACCCCACACCCCCTGGACCACCACTCTACACCCCCTGGACACCACCCTACACCCCCTGGACCACCACCCTACACCCCCTGGACCACCACCCTACACCCCCCGGGACCACCTCACATCAGTGGTTCAGGTTCTACCTTGTTGGTGTATACCTGCACATCAGTGGTTCAGGTTCTACCTTGTTGATGTATACCTGCACATCAGTGGTTCAGGTTCTACCTTGTTGTTGTATACCTGCACATCAGTGGTTCAGGTTCTACCTTGTTGTTGTATACCTGCACATCAGTGGTTCAGGTTCTACCTTGTTGATGTATACCTGCACATCAGTGGTTCAGGTTCTACCTTGTTGGATGTATACCTGCACATCAGTGGTTCAGGTTCTACTTTAATGTTTCTGTTATATTTTTATTAATTTTGATTAAGAATATGTAATGCGCAGTAGCCGGCGTGACCTTTCATAATCACTGGTGTCTGTACTAATCTCTGATAATTTACAGGAAACTGAAGTTGTGGCTACAATATGTATACAACAGAGTTGAAATATTTTACCAATTGTTTATGTGGCCTGGAGTTTTAGGATTCACTTGCCATGGGTTCAAACCCCACCCGTTCCCTGGTTTGTTAGAGCTGATGTTATGTTGTGTAGAAGCGACTGGGAAGCTTTTATCTCAGTCCCAATACAATCACAGTCTACTGTGATCGTATATATTTCTGGGGTTAAGGATTTATGTCCTTTTATCTGTGTTATAATTGTAATACCTTTTTATACCTGTGTTATGATTGTAATACCTTTGTTATGCCTGTGTTATGTTTGTAATACCTTTGTTATGCCTGTGTTATGATTGTGTACCTTTCTGTCCCAGCTCTGTAAATTTCACTATCCTCTAATTTCGACATTTTCTTCCCTCTCATCAGCGCTCTCGCTGCCTTTGAGGAATCACAAAGATAACTTTTTACATTCGCCATTCTATGTAATGTAAGAAATCCTAAACGGTCATGTACAGTAGTTTTTGATGTGCTCGGTAAGAGTTACAGGAAGGTGTAGTCATATCCTGTGTGGTGCCAAGCTAGTGCCAGAGTGCCACTAGTTGTGAGTGTGTGTGAGCCGCGCTCTCACTATGTTCTTAGGACGACCTCGCCGTAGACCTGAGGACTGACAGACTTCACTCTCCGCCCAAGAACTGAAGGAAGGAGCCCACTTTCCACTCACGAACTCAAGGAAGGACCTCACCCTCCACCACGAACTAAGGAAAGAGCAGCGCTCTACTCGAGGGTTGAAGGAATCTCATCCTCAATGACATTTTGTACGGGCATTTCGCCTTCCGTCAACGTTTCTGTAAGAAGCTTCTTTACCCTCCAGCGACCTCACCCTCCACAAGGTCTTGAGGGAGTGCATCACTTTCCAAGTCTTGCTCAAGTATAAGGCAAAATGTGGAACACGGTCTCAGGCCGTGGTCTGGCGTCCCTGGCAACATGGTAAAGCACTTGTTCTTGTTCTTGTTTCATGTAGTCGCCTAAGTGTAATTTAGCTCTAGTTTATGGGTCTCGCCACTTTTAATTTATATATTAAGTTTACATATACCGTTTCCTGCTTCCGATTACTGCCTCGCACTTCAGTTCCTATTTATGTTTATTTGACTGTTGAATGTCCTGGTCCCATCTCTTTTACTTTGTTTATACTGATGTTTTCAGAACCTCCGAGTATCTTGTATACTGTAACCACATCCACTTTGCTTTCCTGCAGTAACGTAAGGTTTGCTTATTTTAATCAGCTTTCACAGGTCAGGTTCTCTTCTCAAGAGTTAACCTGGTCGCTAATTTCTGAACCTTACCAAACTAAGTGTTTTATGGCACATGGCTTCCAAAATTTTATTAATTTCTTTATTTTGGCGTATATTATCCTGAAAAAGAAAATTATCATTAAGATGTAATTTTTAATATGTGATGACATACAAGTGAACTCTTGGCACTAGTTTCTGGCAAGAAAATCAATCATTAGTTCATATTAATCTCCCCTCTGCACGATCCTTGTTTATTTCTACTCTTCTTCCTTTGCCTTCAGTTGTAGTGTAACATACGCCAGACAGTGACTGCTTGCTGTCACCGGGGCTTCCTACATTATCTTTCTGGAGTCCAGTTATGTCTGAACAACCATGTCTAAATCCGGCTGACTCGTTATTTCATTCATGTGATCTGGGGAAATTCTTGGACCTGCATTATGTTCGCTACTGGACCACTACTTAGTTTCTTGAACCTGTTTTCCATATATTACTAAGCGCTTCGTCTTTTATATTGTTCTAACTTTGAATATTTTCTTCATATGTACAATGTTCCTCATTACGACCACAGGTGTAGAATGACCTGCGCACCTTGTCGTAATGAGACCCATAGTAGAACATTAAAATACGCAAGCTAGTATTTACAATATGTATACTACTTACAATATATACAGTAAAGTAAGAGCAAGTGTACAAGACGGTGATCAAAGTGGGCAACAAGCAAAGAGCCAGAGAATGCACCGTGAGCGACCAGCAGCTCAGACAAGTCTGCCAACACTAGCGTCACAAGTGAAACACATTGGTTCACAGATTTGGCGGGCTTGTCTGTGAGTGGCCGATGATCTGAGGTACTGATGTAACGACGGGGCTCCTTTAATCGTTAAATCCTTAGCACCTGGTTCATTGGTTGAGAGGCAGCCTATGTGGGAGTGTGACATAGGCCGAATAAAATGTAACATACTCGTAACATGCTACATTCTTTATATAATTTACCATGTACTTCATAACATTTACCGTGTTTTTATATTTACATCTTCATATCATTTACCGTGTATTTCAAATGGTTCTCTTTTTTGTTGTGTTCTAGTAGTGAAGGTTAATCTCTCTCCTCATCCTCTCTCTCATTTCCTCTGTTATCTCCTGAAACGTCTAGCAGACAGTGCATCAAGGACTGTCTGGTTATCACTCTTCCAGCACCACCAGCATCCCTCCATCACCATCACCACCCCTCCATCACCACCACCACCACCGTCCATCACCACCAGCACCCCTCCATCACCACCACCACCCTTCCATCACCACTACCGCCCCTCCATCACCACCGCCGTCCATCACCGCCACCACCCCTCCATCACCATCACCACTACCACCCCTCCATCATCACACCACCACCACCACCACCGTCCATCACCACCAGCATCCCTCCATCACAACCACCACCCCTCCATCACCACCACCACCCTTCCATCACCACTACCACCCCTCCATCACCACCACCGTCCATCACCACCACCACCCCTCCATCACCACCACCACCCTTCCATCACCATTACCACCCCTCCATCATCACCACCACCACCACCGTCCATCACCACCAGCATCCCTCCATCACAACCACCACCCCTCCATCACCACCACCACCACCACCCCTCCATCACCACCACCACCACCACCACCCCTCCATCACCACCCCTCCATCACCACCACCACCACCACCACCACCCCTCCATCACCACCATTCTCAACCGTGTATGTGTGTCTGCAGGTTTCTGGTGTTAATGATGGTGATAGCAAGCAGAAAAGCAGCAGAGGCCCAGGTTTCTGAAACCATATATAAAAGCCACTCCTGGTGTGACCATAAGAGCGATACCAAGAAAGTTATCTGCAACATTACTGACATAAACAAGGTGAGCTTCACTCCAGTAACCTAACTGACATGTCAAAAGTGTGGAGTGAAAATGCTGTCACCTGTGAAATAGAAAAAGGGACAATACCGTGACTGGAACAATACGTAAATAACCCGTACATAGGAGAGAGAGAAGCGTAAGACGACGTTTCGGTCCAACTTAGTCCAGTGTGACTGGTAAATGGTTCAAGTCGGACCGAAACAACGTCATAAGCTTCTCTCACCTATGTGTCGGTTATTGTGTGTGTGTGTGTGTGTGTGTGTGTGTGTGTGTGTGTGTGTGTGTTTCCATTCACAGCTAACCAACGTACCGGAGATAAAAACTGGGCTGTGTTTCGGCCGCTCCTTAACCATCATCAGGCTTGCGAGAAATAAGATCAGGTCAGAAGATAAAGGAATTGAGAAAACTGAAGTCAGATCAAGTCTAGTGTATTCTGGAGATAGGAAGATTGGACATTATTTCTGGGAGAAATAATAATAATAATAATAATAATAATAATAATAATAATAATAATAATAATAATAATAATAATAATAATAGGTGATCTTTATTTCTATAAGTACATGATACAACTTATACAGACCATAGCTGACATCAATGACATACTGGAACATAGAAAGCCCCTTGTTATGCAGAGCATCTCGGGTAAATTAGGTTAATTTTGTCCCAGGATGCGACCCATACCAGTTAACTGACACTCATGTACCTATTTTACTGATAGGTGAATATGGACTGCAGGTGTCTTAAGGAAACACCCGTACCGGGGATCGAACCACGGACCTCAATGTTTGAGTTGAGAAGGCTATCAACCGAGCTACTGGACACCTCAAAGAAGTCTTGTGAAGAAACGAGACATGGCTTAGGAAAACGTTTCGCGCCGTGTTGCCTGTTTTAATAAAACACCTGAACAGTGCCAACACCGCCACACATATTATAACACCATAATAATGAAACAACAAGTGCTAATACTTTCACTAAATTCTAAATATAAACTTGACAAAATTCTGTTTATTTAAACTGTTTCAATGATTCTTCTGAAGGTTAACGAGACTTCACCAGGACTGATTGTTGCTTCACCAGGACTGATTGTTGCTTCACCAGGACTGATTGTTGCTTCACCAGGACTGATTGTTGCTTCACCATTACTGAGTGTTGCTTCACCAGGACTGAGTGTTGCTTCAACAGGACTGAGTGTTGCTTCACCAGGACTGATTGTTGCTTCAAACCCTTATAGAGTGTTGCTTCACCAGGACTGATTGTTGCTTCACCAGGACTGATTGTTGCTTCACCAGGACTGATTGTTGCTTCATCAGGACTGATTGTTGCTTCACCAGGACTGATTGTTGCTTCACCAGGACTGATTGTTGCTTCACCAGGACTGATTGTTGCTTCACCAGGACTGATTGTTGCTTCACCAGGACTGATTGTTGCTTCACCAGGACTGATTGTTGCTTCACCATTACTGAGTGTTGCTTCACCAGAACTGAGTGTTGCTTCACCAGGACTGATTGTTGCTTCACCAGGACTGATTGTTGCTTCACCATTACTGAGTGTTGCTTCACCAGGACTGATTGTTGCTTCACCAGGACTGATTGTTGCTTCACCAGGACTGATTGTTGCTTCACCAGGACTGATTGTTGCTTCACCATTACTGAGTGTTGCTTCACCAGACTGATGTTGCTTCACCAGGACTGAGTGTTGCTTCACCAGGACTGATTGTTGCTTCACCAGGACTGAGTGTTGCTTCACCAGGACTGAGTGTTGCTTCACCAGGACTGATTGTTGCTTCACCAGGACTGAGTGTGCTTCACCAGGACTGAGTGTTGCTTCACCAGGACTGATTGTTGCTTCACCAGGACTGAGTGTTGCTTCACCAGGACTGAGTGTTGCTTCACCAGGACTGAGTGTTGCTTCACCAGGACTGATTGTTGCTTCACCAGGACTGAGTGTTGCTTCACCAGGACTGATTGTTGCTTCACCAGGACTGGGTTGTTGCTTTTCACCAGGACTGAGTGTTGCTTCACCAGGACTGATTGTTGCTTCACCAGGACTGAGTGTTGCTTCACCAGGACTGATTGTTGCTTCACCAGGACTGAGTGTTGCTTCACCAGGACTGACTTGCTTCACCAGGACTGAGTGTTACTTCACCAGGACTGATTGTTGCTTCACCAGGACTGATTTGCTTCACCAGGACTGATTGTTGCTTCACCAGGACTGACTTGCTTCACCAGGACTGAGTGTTACTTCACCAGGACTGATTGTTGCTTCACCAGGACTGATTGTTGCTTCACCAGGACTGATTGTTGCTTCACCAGGACTGATTGTTGCTTCACCAGGACTGATTGTTGCTTCACCAGGACTGATTGTTGCTTCACCAGGACTGATTGTTGCTTCACCAGGACTGATTTTTGCTTCACCAGGGCTGATTGTTGCTTTCACCAGGACTGATTGTTGCTTCACCAGGACTGATTGTTGCTTCACCAGGACTGATTGTTGCTTCACCAGGACTGACTTGCTTCACCAAGACTGATTGTTGCTTCACCAGGACTGGGTGTTGCTTCACCAGGACTGGGTGTTGCTTTACCAGGACTGGGTGTTGCTTCACCAGGACTGGGTGTTGCTTCACCAGGGCTGAGTGTTGCTTCACCAGGACTGATTGTTGCTTCACCAGGACTGATTGTTGCTTCACCAGGACTGATTGTTGCTTCACCAGGACTGACTTGCTTCACCAGGACTGATTGTTGCTTCACCAGGACTGGGTGTTGCTTCACCAGGACTGGGTGTTGCTTCACCAGGACTGGGTGTTGCTTCACCAGGACTGGGTGTTGCTTCACCAGGACTGGGTGTTGCTTCACCAGGACTGAGTGTTGCTTCACCAGGACTGAGTGTTGCTTCACCAGGACTGGGTGTTGCTTCACCAGGACTGAGTGTTGCTTCACCAGGACTGAGTGTTGCTTCACCAGGACTGGTGTTGCTTCACCAGGACTGAGTGTTGCTTCACCAGGACTGAGTGTTGCTTCACCAGGACTGGGTGTTGCTTCACCAGGACTGATTGTTGCTTCACCAGGACTGAGTGTTGCTTCACCAGGACTGGGTGTTGCTTCACCAGGACTGGGTGTTGCTTCACCAGGACTGGGTGTTGCTTCACCAGGACTGAGTGTGTTGCTTCACCAGGACTGAGTGTTGCTTCACCAGGACTGGTTGTTGCTTCACCAGGACTGGGTTTTTGCTTCACCAGGACTGGGTGTTGCTTCACCAGGACTGGTGTTGCTTCACCAGGACTGGGTGTTGCTTCACCAGGACTGGTGTTGCTTCACCAGGACTGGGTTGTTGCTTCACCAGGACTGGTGTTGCTTCACCAGACTGGGTGTTGCTTCACCAGGACTGGGTGTTGCTTCACCAGGACTGGGTGTTGCTTCACCAGGGCTGGGTGTTGCTTCACCAGGACTGGGTGTTGCTTCACCAGGACTGGGTGTTGCTTCACCAGGGCTGGGTGTTGCTTCACCAGGACTGGGTGTTGCTTCACCAGGACTGGGTGTTGCTTCACCAGGACTGAGTGTTGCTTGAGATAAACACTGGCCACACTAACTATACACGCCAGTAAAGTCGGACGCCACGAAAAAAAAAATCACTACGTTTACTGAATTTATATTAATGAATTTAGTTGGACTACAAGTAAACCCGTGTGGGTTATTTAGCGGAAGGAATGATTAAGGCTCGATCCTCCGTCCGTTAATCACTGCCAGTTATCAGGCCAGTAAGGCTGTTTTGATGCACTCCCGTGGCGCCAGAGGCCATGCAGAGGGAGATCAGAATCGACAGCACAATCACCATCTCCGTGAAAACAGGATTGGGGAACACCTCCATCCTGTAGAACTCTCTAACAGTTTGTTGTTCGTCTGTAGGGCCCACCGGGACCACCACTTCCCAGGAAGACATACTGAAGTGACCCATGAAGTCACTGAGGCAGAAGTTTGCTAGTCATTACCCTAGAACCAAATACTACATTCCTGGCATCATCAGAGCTCTGTGTCTTAGGTTGGGTATAGTTGCTGGCTAATCTTTTTTGTATCTCCTGGCCCCCGTGATGCACACATACATATTGATTGCCATTTTATGGATCATAGCCATTTCACATTCTAAGTATCTTTCAAAATTGCTCGTATTTATAGATAATGAACTGGCCCTTATACACAACAATCGATCTGGAGTTTTACGACTCACTCACCGCGAGTTCAGTCCCCACCCGTACCGTGGTTTAACCATAACATGTAAGCGTGTAGCTGTTGCTTCAACCATAGTATCGTGAAATGTTCTGGTTTTTCAGAGCAACTCTGACTTACCCTGACCTTGGATGTCCTTTGTCCTGACCTGATCTTTGTCTTTCTCCAGGACAAACCAAAATTTCATCTAGTTTACATTTCCAACTTGTGGTGTTGGCTATGAATGTTTATAGTCCGGCATATAGCTTTTTGTTAGTGTTGTTATTGTTGACCATCTGATATAATCATCATTTTGTATGCAGGAGGCAAATGTAATCAGATTTATGATTCGCTTTTCTCCGCTTCCGTATGTTATAGTACTGATAATCTTCAAAATTATGACATAATATTGTTTTCTTTGCCGTGAAGCAGTCAGTAGTGCTGGGTGAGGCCACCTGGCAAGACGAAGATGAGGTAACTGTTATCGGTGCCAAGCCGCTGGTCATCCGTCAACAGTGCCCAAGAAACGATACCCAACCTGGGACACTTAAAATCAGGAATTCCCAGGATGTCAAGACTGAACACACACAAGCTGTGACATGTTGGATACATCTGCATCTCTTCAATTCCACAGCCATCTCCATCACCCACTTCGCTGACTTGCTGAAAATCTATGATTCCAAAGTGAACCTCATCAACATAGACGCAGTTAACCAGTTTGACATTAAAAATTCGGAAGTAACTTTCTTAACTGTGAAAGCAACTAAAACGATGAGTACCATTATTAACTCAATCATTGCCAACTTGGTTAATGTGACTTTGGAAGGCAGTTTCCTTTTCCAGATCAAAGACGGGAGTCTTATTAAACGTCTTAAACACTTAAATTACAAATCGGATGTTACTAGTTCCAAAATAGAGAACGTAAAAATTAATTATGTTGAGATACCAGGTTTGGTGGTGAGTCGTGGGTCCCTGACAATGGAGAATGTTACCATCGACAACCTGGCAGCCAAAGGTATAACTGTGGAAAGTGGAGCTCAACTGATAGTGAGTAATAGTAAAATAATCCACTCTTCTGCCGAAGGAATCGTCATGAATGGCGGTGATATTCAGTTTCAGAACGTAGATGTAGGCAACCATTTTAATGTTTCATTTGTGATCAATGACGCTGATGGTAGCCTTTATCCCTTAGCTACTGTCGTCAGCCCACCGTCAGCAGTCAGTAAGTGGATACTGATCGGATTCTGCATTGGTCTTGTTATTGGTACTTTGATCGGTGGTGCGCTAGTTTTCTTAATCATCAACCGAAAAACGATCAGTAAACAATTTGATAATGATTCCATGGAGTTGTTGAAGAAAGATACGAATTCAGAGTCACCGTGTGTCTCCTCGCAGCCCCAGACTCAGCACTCTCAGGACACAACACTCCAGCATACACAGAAAATGGAGGACGACGAATTTTATATAGATGTTGGTGCTAATGAGGCTTCCAGTTCTGCGATCAGTCAGCAGAACCCTCCACCACTTACGAACAAGCCACCACCACTTACGAACAAGCCACCACCACTTACGAACAAGCCACCACCTATTCCTGAATTTGGCACACTTCCAGCCCCGACTCGCCCACCTTTACCCACGAATTATCCACCTCCACCCTCTACTGTTTCCAATTTAACCGGCAACTCCATCCCAACTCCTTCCCGAATGCCTCCTCCTCCTCCTCCTGTAAGAACAGATTCCGCCAGTAAAGTATCCATTTCCTCGTCGCACTCTGATGAGCCCAAAACCTTGCCTCCACCACCCGAAAGTGCTGACGACGACCAGGATCCCTACGACGAAGTGGAAGAATATCAGAAAAACCAGCAGCCACGACCGCCCGTTGCTTCCAACAAACCCTCGTTCTTGCATAAAGCCAATGCAGCAACGCAGCCAGGGCGGACCACCAGTGGGCCACCGACCAAACCCACAAAAGCCTCGGGTCCAACAGTTGGTCCCGAGGTGTTGGCTGGACGTCGTTGGCCTCCCTCTCAGCCTCATATACCCAACCAACCTACGCAACTCTCATCAGAATCAAAATTCTCCTCAGAATCAAAATTCTCCTTAGAGCCAAAACCCTCCGGTAGTACCTTCAGCGTTGAAGACAACGAGGAAGACATTTACGAGGCAGTGGAATAAATCTAAACATATTACCATCCCAAGTGAAGCTTTGCTCTTCAAGGACCCCAATGGAAATCAAGGACCTCAGTGGAAATTAAGGACCCCAATGGTAATCAAGGACCCTAGTGGAAATAAGTCAGTTTGACAATTTTGAGTTATCCTAGGTAATTTACACTATGTATGACAATTGTAGATATGTGTACTTGTGTCTAAATAAACTAACTTATTTACTCCCTGTATTTAGGCAAAAAAGGATCAACACCTCTTAATTCAGTGGCATTACCACACTGAATATACTCACAGTAAATCAACACATCTTTGTGAAATCAATGCATGGAGACCATGCAGTAAGATGTTCCTGGGAGAACCACACCAGCCATGTGAATTCAAGTATCATTCAGATTTACACATTCCTAGTCGACTATTTATTGCCACGAGTGAGCGTCTCTATGAAGACCATATGGAGATATAAACACGTATGCAGTATGGAAATAAATGGTATAAAATACCGACACAATGGAAATATAAACACATGTGCAGTGTAATGTGATCCTTTATTGACAACGTTTCACCCACATTATACTGCAGTGGGCTTTTTCAAAATCACAGTTCCTGTGTGTACTTGAAAAAGCCCACTGTTGGGTGAAAACGTTTGTCAATAAAGGATCACATTTATACTGCATTTGTGTTTATATTTCCACATATGCAGTGTAATGTGATCCTTTATTGACAACGTTTCACCCACATTATACTGCATATGTGTTTATATTTCCATTGCGTCGGTATTTTATACCATTTATTTCGATGAAGACCATATGTTCTTGATAACATAACATCAGTTACTTGTGTAACATCAGTACACATCAGTTACTTGTGTAACATCAGTACACATCAGTTACTTGTGTAACATCAGTACACATCAGTTACTTGTGTAACATCAGTACACATCAGTTACTTGTGTAACATCAGTACACATCAGTTACTTGTGTAACATCAAAGTTTTTACACATCAGTTACTTGTGTAATCATCTCGTACCACATCAAGTTACTTGTGTAACATCAGTACACATCAGTTACTTTTTGTGGTAACATCAGTTATACACATACAGTTTTTACCCCTTGTTGAAACATCAGTACACATTAGTTACTTGTGTAACTGATGTGTAACTGTATAGATAAAATAATTTATTAACAGCATAATAAACGTAGTTCACCTCTTGATTGTTCACATGAACGACGACATAACTATGGCATTGTCACAGTTCAAAAAAGACATGAGAGGAGAACAATTTATCATTTACTCTTTGAAGCTGTTGCAAGTGTGAGTCTTAAGTATTTTTTATATGTTTATAAATGTACATACGCTACAAACTTTTATTTATTGTGTAGATAAAAGAATTTATTAACAGTTTAGTAACTGAAGTTACTACCACTTGATTACAATTTATTCTATTACTAGTTAGTTATTATGAAAAGGTTAGTTACACGTAACCTGACAGTTAAGAGCACTAACTAAACAGTCAGGTGTACACAGGTTGTGAATACTGCTGGAGTAAACTTTGGACACTGTGAGGGGCAGTACTCCTCGCTAACACTGCAAACTCTGGACACTGTGAGGCGCAGTACTCCTCGCTAACACTGCAAACTCTGGACACTGTGAGGGGCAGTACTCCTCGCTAACACTACAAACTCTGGACACTGTGAGGGGCAGTACTCCTCGCTAACACTACAAACTCTGGACACTGTGAGGCGCAGTACTCCTCGCTAACACTACAAACTCTGGACACTGTGAGGCGCAGTACTCCTCGCTAACACTACAAACTCTGGACACTGTGAGGCGCAGTACTCCTCGCTAACACTGCAAACTCTGGACACTGTGAGGGGCAGTACTCCTCGCTAACACTACAAACTCTGGACACTGTAGGGGCAGTAAATCCTCGCTAACACTACAAACTCTGGACACTGTGAGGCGCAGTACTCCTCGCTAACACTGCAAACTCTGGACACTGTGAGGCGCAGTACTCCTCGCTAACACTGCAAACTCTGGACACTGTGAGGGGCAGTACTCCTCGCTAACACTGCAAACTCTGGACACTGTGAGGCGCAGTACTCCTCGCTAACACTGCAAACTCTGGACACTGTGAGGCGCAGTACTCCTCGCTAACACTGCAAACTCTGGACACTGTGAGGCGCAGTACTCCTCGCTAACACTGCAAACTCTGGACACTGTGAGGCGCAGTACTCCTCGCTAACACTGCAAACTCTGGACACTGTGAGGCGCAGTACTCCTCGTTAACACTGCAAACTCTGGACACTGTGAGGCGCAGTACTCCTCGCTAACACTGCAAACTCTGGACACTGTGAGGCGCAGTACTCCTCGCTAACACCACCTGCCAAAAACTCTGGACACTGTGAGGGGCAGTACTCCTCGCTAACACTACAAACTCTGGACACTGTGAGGCGCAGTACTCCTCGCTAACACTGCAAACTCTGGACACTGTGAGGCGCAGTACTCCTCGCTAACACTACAAACTCTGGACACTGTGAGGCGCAGTACTCCTCGCTAACACTGCAAACTCTGGACACTGTGAGGCGCAGTACTCCTTTGCAACACTGCAAACTCTGGACACTGTGAGGCGCAGTACTCCTCGCTAAACACTGCAAACTCTGGACACTGTGAGGCGCAGTACTCCTCGCTAACACTGCAAACTCTGGACACTGTGAGGCGCAGTACTCCTCGCTAACACTACAAACTCTGGACACTGTGAGGCGCAGTACTCCTCGCTAACACTGCAAACTCTGGACACTGTGAGGCGCAGTACTCCTCGCTAACACTACAAACTCTGGACACTGTGAGGCGCAGTACTCCTCGCTAACACTGCAAACTCTGGACACTGTGAGGCGCAGTACTCCTCGCTAACACTACAAACTCTGGACACTGTGAGGCGCACTACTCCTCGCTAACACTGCAAAACTCTGGACACTGTGAGGCGCAGTACTCCTCGCTAACACTGCAAACTCTGGACACTGTGAGGCGCAGTACTCCTCGCTAACACTGCAAACTCTGGACACTGTGAGGCGCAGTACTCCTCGCTAACACTACAAACTCTGGACACTGTGAGGCGCAGTACTCCTCGCTAACACTGCAAACTCTGGACACTGTGAGGCGCAGTACTCCTCGCTAACACTACAAACTCTGGACACTGTTTAGGCGCAGTACTCCTCGTTAACACTGCAAACTCTGGACACTGTGAGGCGCAGTACTCCTCGCTAACACTGCAAACTCTGGACACTGTGAGGCGCAGTACTCCTCGCTAACACTGCAAACTCTGGACACTGTGAGGGGCAGTACTCCTCGCTAACACTACAAAACTCTGGACACTGTGAAAGGGGCAGTACTCCTCGCTAACACTACAAACTCTGGACACTGTGAGGCGCAGTACTCCTCGCTAACACTACAAACTCTGGACACTGTGAGGCGCAGTACTCCTCGCTAACACTGCAAACTCTGGACACTGTGAGGCGCAGTACTCCTCGCTAACACTACAAACTCTGGACACTGTGAGGGGCAGTACTCCTCGCTAACACTGCAAACTCTGGACACTGTGAGGGCAGTACTCCTCGCTAACACTGCAAACTCTGGACACTGTGAGGCGCAGTACTCCTCGCTAACACTACAAACTCTGGACACTGTGAGGCGCAGTACTCCTCGCTAACACTACAAACTCTGGACACTGTGGAGGCGCAGAACTCCTCGCTAACACTGCAAACTCTGGACACTGTGAGGGGCAGTACTCCTCGCTAACACTGCAAACTCTGGACACTGTGAGGCGCAGTACTCCTCGCTAACACTGCAAACTTTTGGACACTGTGAGGGGCAGTACTCCTCGCTAACACTGCAAACTCTGGACACTGTGAGGCGAAGTACTCCTCGCTAACACTACAAACTCTGGACACTGTGAGGGGCAGACTCCTCGCTAAACTACAAACTCTGGACACTGTGAGGGCGCAGTACTCCTCTCTAACACTACAAACTCTGGACACTGTGAGGCGCAGTACTCCTCGCTAACACTACAAACTCTGGACACTGTGAGGCGCAGTACTCCTCGCTAACACTGCAAACTCTGGACACTGTGAGGGGCAGTACTCCTCGCTAACACTGCAAACTCTGGACACTGGTGAGGGCAGTACTCCTCGCTAACACTACAAACTCTGGACACTGTGAGGCGCAGTTACTCCTCGCTAACACTACAAACTCTGGACACTGTGAGGCGCAAATACTCCTCGCTAACACTGCAAACTCTGGACACTGTGAGGCGCAGTACTCCTCGCTAAACACTACTAAACTCTGGACACTGTGAGGCGAAGTACTCCTCGCTAACACTACAAACTCTGGACACTGTGAGGGGCAGGACTCCTCGCTAACACTACAAACTCTGGACACTGTGAGGCGAGTACTCCTCGCTAACACTGCAAACTCTGGACACTGTGAGGCGCAGACTCCTCGCTAACACTACAAACTCTGGACACTGTGAGGCGCAGTAAATCCTCGCTAACACTGCAAACTCTGGACACTGTGAGGGGCAGTACTCCTCGCTAACACTGCAAACTCTGGACACTGTGAGGCGCAGTACTCCTCGCTAACACTGCAAACTCTGGACACTGTGAGGCGCAGTACTCCTCGCTAACACTACAAACTCTGGACACTGTGAGGCGCAGTACTCCTCGCTAACACTACAAACTCTGGACACTGTGAGGCGCAGTACTCCTCGCTAACACTACAAACTCTGGACACTGAGGCGCAGTACTCCTCGCTAACACTACAAACTCTGGACACTGTGAGGGGCAGTACCTCGCTAACACTGCAAACTCTGGACACTGTGAGGCGCAGTACTCCTCGCTAACACTACAAACTCTGGACACTGTGAGGCGCAGTACTCCTCGCTAACACTACAAACTCTGGACACTGTGAGGCGCAGTACTCCTCGCTAACACTACAAACTCTGGACACTGTGAGGCACAGTACTCCTCGCTAACACTACAAACTCTGGACACTGTGAGGCGCAGTACTCCTCGCTAACACTACAAACTCTGGACACTGTGAGGCGCAGTACTCCTCGCTAACACTGCAAACTCTGGACACTGTGAGGGGCAGTACTCGCTAACACTGCAAACTCTGGACACTGTGAGGGGCAGTACTCCTCGCTAACCAAAATTAAAAGGGGGCTAAACTCCCCCGGACACTGTGAGGCGCAGTACTCCTCGCTAACACTCAAACCTGGACACTGTGAGGCGCATACTCCGCTAACACTGCAAACTCTGGACATGTAGGGAAAACTCCTCCGCCCCCTTAACGAGGGGTAACCCCCAAGCCCCTTTGGGCAATGTGAGGGGCAGTATCGCTAACACTGCAAACTCGGACACTGTAGGCGCAGTACTCCTCGCTAACACTCAAACTCTGGACACTGTGAGGGCAGTACTCCTCGTAACACTGCAAACTCTGGACACTGTTTAGGGGGCCCGTACTCCCTCGCAAACTACAAACTCCCGGGGCACGTGAGGGGCAGTACTCCTC